TGTGCCTTGTATTTTGCTCTTTCAAGAGTTTTTTTTTTGTGTGTGAGGGATAGGAGGCTTCACTAATTTTCCTTTCAAATAGCTTTACTTTTTTGTTAAATTCCCATTTTCATTTTGATTTATAGTTAGCTAAAGTTCTCCTACCCCCCCCCCCCTCCCCCTCCTCCTTTCTCCATCAGATTGTATTATTAACATCAGGTGGGTAATATATACCGATCGTCGCCCAAGACTAAATACATACATTAGAATCTGTTTCCTCCATTTTTTTCTGGTACTGCTGTTATTTTTCTTTAATTCTTTGCGACCCTCCTAACAGCAGAAGTGTCATGTCCAGCTTGTTTGATTCGTACGAGGAAGACTATCAAAGATGTATAGGTCTTCTCACTGACACCATGAGCGAACTCAAGAATTCTATCTCAAAGCAAAAAGCTCATGAAAGCGATCCAACCGTAATATACCATCCACAGCCATCCACTGGCACCAAAAGTCGTTCACACCAACTCCGAGAAGTGCTTCAGATTCTAGCGCATGTTAAAGATTTGCTTACAAGCATGAATTATGAGGTAAGCGACGTCAAGAATCAATACCAGCATGTGAACATCAAAGGCTTAATTGCTAATTATCAGAAGCGTGTAGTCTCACTTGAGGAGGAGGCTTCGTGGCTTCGACAGGCCTGTGCAGATGCGGAGAGAAAAGACTTGCTTTGGTTTGAAGGTTCCAACCCCCATGCGGGTCTGTGGGATAAGATTGATCCCGAGGCCAACTCACAACGACTGATGTCTCTTCAGACAACAGGAACTCTGCACTCCGGCACCTCGACCTTGTTGAAGGCCGAGGCGTACCTGGAGCAGAGCAAAATATCGGGTTGTGCATCACTAAACATGCTGAGGGCGCAGACAGAACAAATAGGAAACATCGGAAACTTGGCAACGGATGTCGATGCGGAGATATTTGCATCACGTCGAATTATCAACCAAATGCAGAGTGTTGCCTTCCGGCGAAAGCTGTTTTTGAGTATGGTTATAGCTATTTTGGTTCTCTTTTTGATATTATCTGTGATCTACCGTTAGATAAGGTTTATATGAGGTGCTACTGGGACCTGCTGTTTTTATTATCATTTGGATGCTAGTGGGAAGGAACAGCTTGCTCCGACTTACTTTTGATTAACTGCTGGCTGTGTGTGCCTATTTTCACAGTATTCGGCCCTAGCAAAAGGAATTACCATAAAAAGTTGACCATTTGCTTAACTACTCACATTTTTAATTGAGATCGTTTCACTGCTTCTTTGTTTGTACTAGAAAATTGTGGGATGACCTTGACGCTAGGGGTGCTCCGTGAGCGAATGCCATATTCATTTATAGACAATATAAGAATAGGAAAAATCGATCCCCTCCAAAAGGGCGAAAGACCACAAGTTCAATTGCTTTTCAAGAAATTCCTTATGTTATTAAATTCACTGCATGTTACGTTCGAATTTTGGTTAGAATACTTCTGATGTTTTTTTTCCTACTGTAGTTCATACCTTTATTTATTTTGTGTCTTATTGCTTCTTAGTTTGCTACAACTGTTTCGATAGCATCGACTTGCTTTTTTTCATAGTTAGTACATGACATTTTCATTTTCTTTAGACAATGACAGCGCTTCTGAAAAGTTATGAAGAAGAATATCATGAGATTACCAAGCGAATTAGTGATGAATTATCTGCCTTACAGGCAGCCTTACAGCGTGGGTCTGCCGAATACACGGTGCCCCCGGCCTCCGGCCCTGCCAGCCGCCAGCAGCGGTGTACTAATTTGTTCAACCTCATCCTCCAGATAAAAGATCTCATCCTCAACATGAGCTATGAGTGCAGTGACCTCCCAATGGTTCTACAAACAACCTACAAAGAACGCATTGAACAGTTTAAGGGGGACACTCGGAATTTGGAAAGGTCGATTGCGGCGGTTAAAGTTGAAGCGAGCGCTGCGGATAGGCAAGATCTACTCTGCGGCTCGAAGGATGGAATTGATCTGGATACCGGCAGCGGTTTGGCAGTTGATAACCGAAATGGGGTGAGCCTCGAGATGCAAAAGTACCGCGTGCAAATGATAGATAACACCCAAAAGTACGGAGAGGCCTCAAAGACCCTCCTCCAGGCGGAGCGCCTGCTGAACGACACCGAGATCTCTGGCAACGAGGCTCTCACAAACTTAAGGACGCAATCTGAGACGATACGGCAAATCCATGAGACCGTCTTCGACGTTGATGAGGAGATCTCCAAGTCACGCAAAATTCTAAAAAAAATGCAGCTCATGATGATCAAACATAAACTCATTCTTATTGGTATTATATCAATTCTTCTTTTTCTAATCATTGTTGCCATTTACGTCGAGGTTTCAAAAAATCGTAGAAATCGTATGCCGGAACCCTCTATCGAGCCACCCTCGTCCACGATCCCAATTTCGTCGGTTGGTAACTAACCACATTGACCTTCAAACAGGCAGGTGGAGAATTACGCGTTTGTGCGCGTTTCTACAACTGTGTATGTGGTAATGTGAGGCGATGAGAGTTTGATTTGAGCACATCGTCTTGTTTTTCTAATGGTACATAGACGATGTAAACTTGACCATTGATGTTCCAGAAAAATATAAAATAGGTAATTACTTCCGTTAGTTGTACTTATATAAATATATCTATATATTTTTGGTAAAGCTTATTTTCGAGTTGCTTTATAAGAGATGGTGTTTCGTGAGAAAGCAATCTCCTCACCAAAAGCACCAAATCAAATTGTGTTCAGCGGAGCATGACATTGGGTAAATCATGAAGCGTTTTTTTTGCAAATGATCATCTATCCTCATGTACATGGATATATACTGAACCCATTTTGTTGCTTTAGTTATCTGAAGACCGTATTTTAACCTTGTCCCATATATTTTTATTTACTCACAACCTGTATTTAATTTACCCAGCTTCAGAATATTTAATTAGAATAAATCAGATTTTTCTATTCTTTCCTTTTACAGCGTTCCACTTTCAACCTTGAATGCGTACCTTCAATGGAGATGAATCCGCAGCTTTCAGTTCGTGATTATATAACCTCTAATGTGTTCAATAACCCGGCCGCCAACCCCCCGATAGGGGTTGAAGACGAACAATCTCAACCGTTCTACTTTGAGGAGGGTATTTGTGCATTGCGCACACTACACGAACGACTTCTTAAGCAAAGCAACGAGGTCAATAATGCTTTTCATGCACTTATAAATAAAGTTGAGTCTGCTGTTAAACAGAGTACTGTGAAGACGACGCCGAGTACCTTTCTATCGTCTGGCAACACAATCCTGAATGCTTATATAAATACATTGCGTGAGATGAAAAATTTTTTCATGTTTTTGTTCCGGTGTGTTTACGTTCATCAGCTTGAGGGCTCTTTTGAATTTTTTGAAAAGGTGGAACATCTTGTTCAGTTTTTAGATAACGAAAAACAGATTCAAACTAATAAAAATAATCACCAACATCAATCTTTGTTGTCCTCGAACAATGAAACATATCTGGAATTGTCAAAGATTGCTCATTCTAGGGTGACGAGTCTTAAATGGCTTCCGTTACATGCGCATTGGCAACAAGGCCAACAGCTCCTTAAGGACTTCATCATCGCTACCCCAGGTTTGCATGGTGCTCGAGTCGCTCCGGAGGCGAGTAAAGCCGCGGAGAGTTTTTCAACTCCCGGCATACGTCGTGCCGCTCCCGGTGCGCAATGTACTGCTAGCATGTCAACCCCGTCGAATTCGTTTAAGGCGATCTTTGCGATATCGGCAGCGTACTCAGCTCCCGATCGTGAGAAGATTCTTCACATTCTGACGGAAAGACTGCAAACAACCGCAGTTGTATTGCCTAAGATGGGGAGAGAGATGGAAGATGCTATGACCGCGCTATTGTGTTGCCTTTGCCTTGTAACGCCCACGCCATTCTCTCGCGCACACAACACTCGCCTGCGCTATATCCGAAAGGAGCAACTCGAAGAGTATGCACAGGTTCCTCAGAGTCGCGGAACGGGGGGGGATTCCGCTGTACTTTGGCAGCTTTCCAGAAAATCCCGTGTTATTGCGGCACGTTCAGATGTTGCTCTTGCCATGGATGACGACACGCTTGACGAGGCCGATGCCGAACTCAATTCCCTTTTGAGCAAGTTGGATGCGATGCCAACCCTGGGCTTCGACAGTGCTGGTCTTTTTTCAACTATTGAGCCCACTTCTAAATCTCAGATAAAATCGATGTGCGGTGAAAATGGTACAGCGCCATCTGTGCCAAGCTCCGCGACGTTGGTGTCTCGGCGCGAGCTTCAGGAGTCTGTGAATTGTCCACAAGCCTGCCACAAAAGTAGCAGAAAGCGCCAAAGTGCGGGCTCTAACCCTATTAAGTCCATCGTGGTTGTAGAGAGAGCCAGCGCGCTTACATACACCGCTCCAAGGGAAGCTGACACACGTTGGGGGGAGACACAGGACGAACAGGCCAGTGTGGGAGTGGGTCCCAGTATTGTGGAATCTCCCATAAACGAAGAGCAGTGTGGCGCCGAGAACACACTCACACCAGAGCTGTCAGTACCCATTGAGTCCCAGTTTATCCAATACAAGCGCCGGACCGAGGAATCATTCGACAGGAACCACGCTCACGCGGTTCTCGAAGCAAGGGAGCGTGATATGTTACGGTCGCGCCCCCCAGAGGACTGGTTGTTCCAACTCAGCAACTCCTGCAAGGATCTGCGTCGCGAATTAGTGGTGAATATCGAGGACTTGGGATCTCAGGTTGACATCGGCACGCCGTTCAACCCACGCACCACGCATCTTGTCGTGCTCGAGGGCATCACAGAGCGCACCGAGAAGTATTTGTGCGCGTGTGCGGCGGGAATCTTCATCGTACCACCGTGTTA